TTTTGGGGACGAATAGAACTTTCTTTTGGTGGTATTTAATCACCACTGCTGTTTTTATTTTTTACTATATAATTAAAAAAGTACTGAAAATTTTGTGATGTTATAAAACAATTATTACCCAAATTTTTGGCAAAATATAAAAGACGGGGTCACGTCGGGTAAATAGACACCAAACATGTCAAGCTTTAAAATTGCGTGCGTGCCGTGTATGTGGGGGGCGGGGGACTTAAAAAAAAAAATTTTTGTATTACCTTTATATGTGACTTTTTACATTTTTTAACATTTTTTTTGTAACTAATTCTTTTAAACCTTTTTTTTTCACTTAACTTTATTGCTATCACATAGGGGACTAACAAGTCCCCTTTGTGATAGCCAATTTTCAGTGACGAAGCAAACACCTGCCTCACCAGCTTCTCTCCGGTTTCTGCAAATACACATCACTTCCTGCATTCCAAAGAGGAGATCCTATGGAGATCGTGTACTTACTCCGTTTGATCTCCGGCCGCAGAGCTGCTGTGCTGGTCCCGGGCTCACACGGGGCACAGCGGAGCTCGTGATCACCAGCAGCGGCTGCAACAGAGGGGGGCGCACACCGGCATGCATACTACAAGTGATCGTGGCTTCTATATGTACCAGCTTGTAATTTTAAAACCATATCCCGGCAGTTGATCCAGATGAAGGCAAATGATAAGGGTAAATATTCACATTTTTGAATACACGTTGTTTTTAGATACTCATATAAATTATACCTAAAAAGTCACATTATTGGTGCATATACAGGATAGCGATAAGGAGAAGATAGTGATATCAGTGCTTTAACTATATATTTGTAATTATTAAGTTCACCCCCTTTTCCTTCAATGAATATTCATCTACCATCCCCCACCTAATGCTAATGCAAAATGGTGTGGGCTGCATGATCCCAGGTCTCCAGGCTTGGGGATACTAGATCCTATACCTGTTGTGCTAAGGGAAAAGACCCTTTTGTATTATTTGTGTTCTTAACTAAGGCTAAAAAAAAATAAAGAAAGCCCGAATAGTATTAATTATCTGTGGACTACAGGATTAGGATGCAGAATATTGGATTGCAGGGGAAGTTTTAGCAAATATCTGCCACGGCCTATTTTTCATTATTTGGTGCATAATTGTGTGAGAAAATCCCATTTTCTCTTTTATAGTTATATATAGTATCAAATTCAATAAATGTCATCTATAGTTATCCAGCACACAGACATTGAGTGCCAGAGTGCTACTGCTATAAAAAGAATGCAGTATAACCTTTCAATTCTGCTCTGCATAAAGAAACACTAATACCATCGCAGTTCTTGGAATATGTATAACCTTCAATTAGGTTTGTCTTCATAAGTACAGTATATGATATTTTACAAAGCTTATTATAGCTGTTTGAAAACAGTGTTTGAAAATAGAGAGTAGGCTAAAGAATCATTGGAACTGAGTATGTGTATGCCCACAAAATGCTATACTTTGCTCTTCTGTATGCTACAAGTATGCGGCAAATAGAGTTATACATACTTTTTATAGTGTACATTCAGTACCCAAAGCTACGCAACACCGGCAGAGTTTATACTTGCTTGTGTCCAAAAATGTATCTAATGCTGCCAACAAGCTCTGTGGTAAATGTACAGTTACTAGACTGGCAATAAACGAATTATGCAAGAATAGCCGACCAACCCTGTGCAATATATACAATATATGTGCAGTACAGTGGAACTTCAAACCATGACCCCCATGGCGGTGCCCTAGGTGACACCAAGATAAGAGCTGTTTATCAGAGCCAGTATAACAAGTTGTGCACAGGGGGTCATGTAAAATGATATTCATTGAACACTAATCTTAGTAATACACTGCTGTGGAACACACATTGCAACAGGGAACAGCCCTTGGCATTCACAACAGGTATCTTGCTTTCTTCAGGTATTTGAAGAATGTTTACATGAAAGGGTACATAAAAGGTGTGCCTAACACTCAAAAAAGGATAACTTGACCACACAAGATAAATAGATGGGTGCCATGCTACAGCTACCTAAATCAGCACTATCCCTCTCCAGCTGTGTATTGTCTCTTTCTAAACTGTGCCAATGTGCTGATCTGTGTGTTGTCCTTCTTCAAGGTGTTTAACTGTGTACTGTCCCTGTCCATAATGCTTAAAAGAGACATGCCCCTGTCTAAGATGTTGAACTGCATGTTGTCCTTTATCAAGGTGTTTAAGGGTGTGAGGCCCCTGTCCAAGGTGCTGAGCTGAGCAATGTCCCTGTCCAAGGTGCTGATCTAAGCAATGTCCCTGTCCAATGTGCTTAACCTGGTTTTATCCTTAATCGGTGTGCTCAAGGGTGTGATGTCCCTCTGCAAGGTGCTGAACTGAGCTATGTCCCTCTAGAGCAGTGGTCTCAAAGTACCGGCCAGTTGCGGCCCGCGAGCCGGTACTATGTGGCCCGCAGCCAGCTCACAAGTCAGGTATGCGGTCGTCACGGACCGTGTACCCGACTTGTGGGAGCAGCTACACGGTCTGCATCTCTATCGAATGCAGACCTCATAGCTGCTTCTGTGTCGGTCCTCGGTGATTGATTGGTAGGGTCTGTGATATCATATGTGATATGATTACATGCGATTAGAAAACACTCCCTGGATGCACAATCGATGCGTCCGGGGATAGTAATTGATTCCTAATCACATGTAATTATATTACATACCATTACATGTGGTGTGCAGGCTTTTACATGGAGCTGCTGTCACCTGATCATTAACTTGAACGGGTGACAGCTGCCGCTTGTAAACACCAGATTAGTGATTCCTGCTGCAGAAAAACGCAAGTTCCTGACGCAGGAATCCCTAATTGCACCTAAACCTAGAGATATGAATGGGGCCTTATTGTGTGTGTATTGGGGTCCGTTGTACCATACCGGATATAGTTACATTTTATTTTAAAATATGAAATTTGGCAATCGGCGCCCATCGGAGAAAACAAATTGTTGAGTGGCTCCCCGAGTGAATTGAGTTTGAGACCCCTGTTCTAGAGGGTGCTTTACTGACCTATGTCCCTGTGCAAGGGGCTGAACTCAACTATGCCCCTCTATAAGGTGCTGAACTGAGCTATGTCCTGTCCAAGGTGCTTAACCTGTCATCCTTTACCAGGGTGCTAAAGGGTTTGGTGTCCCTTTGCAAGGTGCTGAACTGATCTATGCCCCTCTATAAGGGGCGTAACTGAGCTATGTCCCTCTAGAGGGTGCTTAACTGACCTATGTCCCTCTGCATGGGTCTAAACTGATCTATGCTTCTCTATAAGGTGCAGCACTGAGCTATGTCCCTCTATAAGGTGCTGAACTGAGCCATGTCCCTGTCCAAGGTCTTTAACCGGGTTTAATCCTTTATCAGTGTGCTCAAGAGTGTGATGTCCCTTTGCAAGTAGCTGAACTAATCTATGCCCCTCTATAAGGTGTTAAACGGGGCTATGTCCCTCTAGAGCAGGGGTAGCAAACCTACGGCCCTCCAGCTGTGGTGAAACTACAAATCCCATGATGCATCTCTCTTCGGGAGTCATGTCTGTGAGAATCTTGCAATGCCTCATGGGATTTGTAGTTCTACCACAGCTGGAGGGCCAGAGGTTTGCTACCCTTGCTCTAGAGCAGGGGTGAGATGCTTAACAGACCTATGCCCCTCTGTAAGGTGCTGAACTCAGCTTTGTCCCTGTCCAAGGTGCTGCACTGATCTATGTCCCTGTCCAAGGAACTTAACCTGGTGTTCCACCAGCATCGAATCTGCTGAATTGATCTATGCCCCTCTATAAGCTGATCAACTAAGCTATGTCCCTCTAGAGGGTGCCTAATTGACCTATACCCTCTGCAAAGGGCTGAACTGATCTCTGCTCCTCTGTAAGGTGCAGCACTGAGCTATTTCCCTGTTCAAGGTTCTTCACCGTGTGTTATCCTTTTTCAAAGTGCTTAAGGGTGTGGTGTCCCTCTGCAAGGTGCTGAACTGAGCTATGTCCCTCTAGAGGGTGCTTAACTGACCTATGTCCCCCTGCAAGGGGCTGAACTGATCTATGCTTCTCTGTCAGCCGCTGCACTGAGCAATGTCCCTGTCCAAGGAGCTGCACTGAGCCTTGTTCCTGTCCAAGAAGCTGCACTCAGCCATGTGCCTGTCCAATGCGCTGTACTGAGCTATGTCCCTGCCCAAGGTACTTAACCTGATGTTATCCTTTATCAAGGTTCTCCAGGGTGTGATGTCCCTCTGCAAGGTGCTGAACTGAACTCTGCCCCCCTTTAAGATACTGAACTGAGCTATGTCCCTGTCCAAAATACTGAAATGTGCTTTGTCCTTCCCCAATGTATTGAACCTTGGGCTGTCCCTCTACAAGGTGCTGGCCAGTGCTGCGTCCCTCTACAAGGTTCTGATGAGCATTGCGCTGAATTCTGCACTGTCCCTGTTGGAGGTGCTGAACTTTTTATTCGGCTCTCTCTCTTTCTCTTTTGACCTGTGTCCTTTCCTCTGATGTGGGAATGATGTTCTGTCCCTTTCTATGTGCTAATCCTCAGCATTGTGTGAACTGTGCCTCTCCCATGTGCTCAGGGCGATGTCCCCCTCCAAGATGCTGAAGAATGAAATGATAGGGGTCATCCTTCACCCTGCAGACTGAATCACTTAAGAACAGCCACCATCAGCTATAGGAACAATGCACATACACCTAACCAATGTGCATTCTCTGGGGTTTTGTTCAATAAATAGCTACACTATGCAAATATTAGGAAAATGTAACCCATTAAATGCTGAGATGACTGGACCCAAGGCGGATGCCTTGCAGATATGTCTGGCAGCACCTTCCACATCAGCTCTCTGTTGCACACTGAAAGAGGGGGAGGGGTGGGAGCAGCACTAAACTGAAGGCAGCTCAGTTGCCCACGTGGAGAGCAGACCATAGCCCCTCCCCCCTTGAAGCAGATCAATCAGGAAGCAGAAAGCCGGTTCCTGCCGTGTTAGCTGATCTTCCTCAGGTATATAAAGAGCAGGAGAGCCTTCATCCTTCGCTGTGAGCCACACACACTAGAAGGTCTTCCAGCATGAGCTACTCTCTGGAAACTATAGGTAGCCCCTCTTATAGGAGGATGGCGGAGATCAGGACCAGCTACAGTCGGACCAGCAGCTCCCCAACCAGCGGATTCAGATCTCAGAGCTGGTCCCGAAACACTCCTAGCACCATTTCCTCCTCTTATAAGAGGACCAACCTGGCTGCGCCCAGAGGGTTCAGCTCAAGTGACAGTTTGGACGTCAGTCAGTCCTCCGGCTTCAATGGGGATCTCAAGCAAGTCCGGTCTAGTGAGAAGGAGCAACTGCAGGGACTTAACGATCGCTTTGCTGGCTACATCGAGAAGGTCCATTACTTGGAGCAGCAGAACAAGGAGATCGAGGGGGAGATCCAAGCCCTGAGACAAAAGCAGAGCGGGTACAACCAGCTGGGTGACATCTATGAGCAGGAGCTTTCAGAGTTGCGCACCAACATGGAACAAGTCAACCACGAGAAGGCACAGATCCTCCTGGACTCTGAGCACCTGGAAGAAGACCTCCAGAGGCTGAAGGACAGGTATGAGGACGAGGCTAGGATCAGGGATGAGACAGAGTCTGCCATAAGGTCTATGAAGAAGGACATAGATGACACGTCCTTGATAAAGGTAGATTTGGACAAGAAGGTGCAGTCCTTGCAAGAAGAGATCTCTTTCCTCAAGAACAACCATGAGGAAGAAGTGGGCGAGCTCCTGGCCCAGATCCAGGCCTCACACATCACCGTAGAAAGAAAAGATTTCCAGAAAACAGACCTGGCCACAGCCCTGAGGGAAATCCGCTCCCAGCTGGAGGGCCACTCCAACAGCAACATGATGCAGACAGAGGAAGTCTTTAAAAACCGATATGTCAAGCTCACAGAAGCTGCCGAGCAGAACAAGGAGGCCATCAGGTCCGCCAAAGACGAGATCGCAGAATACAGAAGGCAGTTACACAGCAAGACAGTGGAGCTGGAGTCTGTCAGGGGTACCAAAGAGTCATTGGAGAGGCAATTGAATGACATAGAGGACAGACACAACCATGACTTGAGCAGTTACCAGGTAGGTGCAATAACTTGCTGTAGATGTAATGCAGAAGCTTTAGGGTGATGATCTGAGCCTAATGACCCAATGTAGAGGTGTAGATGTAACTGAGCTCAAGGATAGACTGTAGAGGTGCAGATGTAATGTTTGAGCTTTCAAGGGTGCTGAACTGAGCCAATTGATACAATGTAGACTTAATGTTGGAGCTCCCCTGGGAGCTGAACTGAGCTTAATGACCCAATGTAGAGGTGTAGATGTAACTGAGCTAATGGATACCATGTAGATATGTAGGTCTATTTGGGCTTTCAAGGGTGCTGAACGGAGCCAATTGATACAATGTACAGTAGATGTCTAGCTGTAACTATGTAGACTTAATGCTGGAGCTCTCCAGGGTGCTGAACTGAGCTTAACGACCCAATGTAGAGGTGTAGATATCATGTTGGAGCAGCCAAGGGTGCTGAATTGAGCTATATGATACAATGTAGACTGTAGATATAATATTTGGGCTTTCAAGGGTGCTGAACTGAGCCAAATGATACAATGCAGGTGTCTAGATGTAAGTGGTATAAATTATACAATGTAGACTTAATGTTGGAGCTCTCCAGGGTGCTGGATTGAACTGAACGATACAATGCAGACTTGAAGATAGAATCTCGGGCTTTCAAGGGTGCAGTACTGAGATAAATGATATAATGTAGATGTATATATGTAACTGAGCTATACCATACAATGTAGACTTGTAGGTACAATGCAGGAAGTGTCCAGGAAGCTGAATTGTGCTTAGGAATGCATTGCAGATGTAAAGTATATTCATCAGCATGTTGAGAACATCATCTTCTAGTAAAATGTATTTATTATTTATTACAGGTGTTTATAAGCAGGTATAGTAACTGTTTTTTTGCTTCAGTATACCAAATGAGTCTACTTTTAAACTTAGAAGCGATCAGAAGTGTTTAAGGTCTCTCCTATAAGCAGTCAAGCACAGAAGCAGTTAAACTTGGATCGCATATGGTTTTAAAGCTTTTTTTGCTCCTGTATTCTCAGTACAAGAGTACACAGCTAACTTTTGAGGTCTGTAAAATTGCAAAGTGGTTATTGCACTCTTATAACTGAACACGGTGTGTTAGGTTGGCTGAGGATCCCCCACACCCTCCTGTAGGGGTGTGCAATGTAATGCATGAAGCCCATGTGTCTGTATAGGGTGCAGTGCCATTTGCTCGGTAGGTTCTGCAGTAACACATGCCATTAATGTTCAGGGGGTGTGGTGGAGCTTGACTTTGTGTGCAGATGGGTGACGCAGTGTTGCCGTGTGATGGAGGGGGAGTGGCGCAGTGTGTGGGGCAAGGTGACGCAGTATGACTGTTCTAAACCGAGGGTGTGGTGCAGTGACAATGCATATACTGTATGCGTGTGCACGGTGGAAGGGGTAGGGGGCGTGCTGCAGTATATACTGCTACTAGATAAGATAGCAAAGAGCGTTGTTTTGCTGCAGTGAGACAATGTGTGTCATAAATGTCTAATTTAAGGGGGGTGTGGCACTGCCTGTGTGTGTGGTGCAATATGACAGCAAATCTATATGGTGCAGTGTGGCCGGATGCCTCTGCAAGTCACATCAAAAGTCACCCGTGCAAAGCTGCTTTGTGCTTAATCCTCACCATAGGGTCTGTTCCTCCCATAGGAAACCATCCAGCAGCTGGACAATGAGCTGAGAGGAACAAAATGGGAAATGTCCCGCCACCTGAGAGAATACCAGGACCTGCTCAATGTCAAGATGGCTCTGGATATAGAAATTGCTGCATACAGGTACTGGGGCAGAGCCAGCAGAATATTAATAGCACTGCAGAGGCTGCATGGAGCAGCAGGATGGGAAAACTTTCACATCTCAGGGTGTGGGAGGGATATGGAGATGATTGCAGCCTATCAGGGAGCAAGCAAGCAGAGAAATGCAGAGAAAGCCTAAAATTCTGTCCCAAACTGAGCAATACATGAAAAGCTCACATTTACAACATCACGCATATCACTTTGCCCAAACATTTTCCAGTGGAAATGTCTGCAGGAACAAGATGACAGGGATGATAGGGGATCAAAAAAGATGAAAGGACCATGTGAAAACTATTCAAAGGGCATTCTATAAAAACATTTATGTCTACATATAAATATAACTTAATATAATACAGAAATTAAGTAAAACTGGGTATAAAATTACACAAACGTACACAGATTCACATCTAGGACACTAAAGTCAGCGAGTCGATGTAAAAAAGTTAGATTGTGTTCTAATATGGGGAAATAATTTATTCTTATTGAAATGAAAGTTAAGTTTTATGGCCAGTGCTACTGAAGGTGTATTTGTCAATCACGGACATTGACTCATCAAGATTATAAGCAGCACAGTGATAGAAAGGTAAAGTCAAGAGCTGATGGGTAAAGCAATACAAATTAGTAAACAAACTCATTTTCAGAACATTGCTGGGAATGTAATAGATTATGAATAGAAAATATATAGCAAAAATTATAAATAGCAGACGCTTTCTGTATAACAAATGCCCCAATGTAAGAAAAATGTGACTTTTTGGATATATTCAATCAGAAAAAGGACACAATGCAGTCAGCCATGAATATTAATCACAAGACATCTATTGATAACTGCACTTTGCAAATCATCATTGCTCCTTTAACCAGTTTATTGAATACTGTATTAAATGTTAATCCAGCACATTAAAACTTGCAAATCGAAATGAACCTGTCACTCTTCCACAATTACATGGGCTGAGCAATGTTCAGCCAGTCAAGTCATGAAAAGCTAATACAATTTGTGGGTCATAAGGCACTTGTTGTTTGTTGCTGTTGTGACATAATTAATTTTCAGTAAAGTGATTGCATGCTCCAAAGTCTTAATGCAACGTACAAAATATTCTCCTCCATTCCATACCATTAAAAGGAACATTTTAGAGGAATAATATGACACAGCTGCTAATGTGATTGTAGTCCCATGGGTTTACTTGGGCAGTGATCTCATAACACGGCTTTATGCACCCATGTGGCTTAAAAGCAGTACAGGGGACATGTAGATGAAAAAAGCCAAATTAGGACCACAGGATCTGTAGTGACAATACCACCCAGTATGTGGGCTAGACAACTAAGATCTGATTTCGGTAATACACAGCAATGATGTTTGCACTGTTATCAAATATTTCCAAAAGTATTCAATGGGGCTAATATAGAAAAACAGGAAACGTTGAACATAGGAACCAATTTAATTTCTTGTCTACTCCCAAAATGTAAGAATTGGGAGTTAGGGCTAGTTGCAAAACATTTATTTCACTTCTCCGCCATCTCCAAGAAACTTTGAAACTGTTGCAATTTTTCAAATCTTTTACAAAGACAATGAAATCCCTGTTCTAATAAATCTGTGTTTGACTTCATAGGAAACTTTTGGAAGGAGAAGAAACTCGATACTGCTCATTCTCCAGCATTCCCTCAGGTCCTTCAGTTCCACTCAGACAGGCACCTATCACAATATCTTCCACCCGAGTACAGCATTCACGAGCTGAGGCACCAAGAGTTAAAGTGCAACACAAATTTGTTGAAGAGATCATTGAGGAGACCAAAGTGGAAGATGAGAGGTCAGACATGGAAGCAGCTTTGGCTGCTATGGCAGAAGAGTTTGCATCTGGTCTGTTAGGAGATGAGCAGAAAGAAGATGAAGGAGAGGAAGAGGGAGAAGGAGAAGAAGAGGCAGAGGGAGAAGGAGAAGAAGAGGCAGAGGGAGAAGGAGAGGTTGAGGAGGAGATTGTAGCAGCTGTAAAATCCACAGTACAGGCAGCAGCACCAGGAGAGGAAGAGGAAAAGGAGGAAGAGGCAGAAGAAGAGGTAGAGAAGGCAGAGGAAGAGGTAGAGGAGGAGGGTGAGAAAGGAGAAGAGGCAGAAGAGGAAGGAGAAGAAGCAGCAGTGGAGGAAGGGGAGAAAGAAGAAGAAGAAACTGAAGAGGGCGAAGCAGCAGAGGGGGAAGTAGAGGAAGAGGAGAAGGAAGAAGAAACAGCAGAAGGTGAGGAAGAGGAAGGAAAGGCAGAAGAGGAAGAGGGTGAAAAGGCAGATGATGAGGAAGAAAAGGAAGCAGAAGAAGAGAAAGAGGGGGTAGCAGAAGAAGAAGGGGGTGATGAAGGAGAAGCAGAAGCAGAGGAGGCTGAAAAGGAGGAAGAGGAGGGTGAGAAAGAGGAAGGAGAGGGAGAGCAGGAGGGAGAAGGTGCAGAAGAAGAGGCTACAGAGGATGCCCAGGAAGAAGTGGTAGAAGAACTTTTTGTGGAGACTAAAGTTGTCAGGGTAAAAGCTGCGGTACAAGAGAAAGAAGCTGAGGAGGAAGCAGAGGAGGAGAAAGAGGGTGGAGATGAGGATGAAGGAGAGAAGGGAGAAGAAGAAACTGAGGAAAAGGCTGGAGATGAGGAAGCTGAAGGAGAGGCAGCTGATAGCTCTGAACAGCAGGAAGAGGAGAAAGGAGAGTCAGATGAGAAGGAAGAGGAAGCAGAAGAAGGGGAATCCAAAGACGATGAGGAGGCTGGAGAAGACAAAGAAGAAGGTGAAGCAGAGGAGGAGAAAGCTGGATCCCCTGAAGAGAAGAGTGTGGAGGAGACCGTCTCTGTGTCCAAGGCAGCTTCTGTGGGAACAGGGAAAGGTGATGAAAAGGAGCAAGAACAGGAAGCAGAGGAAGAGAGTAGCCCCAGAGATGATGGAAAGGAAGATACAGCAGTAAATGGAGATGTTGAAGAGGAAAAGGAAGAGAGTGAGGATAAAGGAGTAGTTACCAATGGCCTAGATGATAGCCCCGAAGATGACAAAGACGGCGGAAAGAGCCAAACTGTTGTAGTCACCAGAAAGGTTGAAACCACAACCAGCGAGGGTGAGGATGGTACCAAATACATCACCAAGTCAGTGACCGTCACCCAGAAAGTGGAGAAACATGAAGAAACCATCCAGGAGAAATCAGTGTCCACAAAGAAGGTAGAGAAAGTCACATCACATGCAGTGGTCAAGGAAGTCTCTGAGAACAAGTGAGAGCATAGTCATAGCACTTCCAGCAAAGCAGCAGGACTGAAAAAGCCATAAGATAAACTGCATGTAAAGTGACAGCTTCTAATGGGCTTCTAGCAGATGGGGTTCTCTCGTGGGGTGGGGGGCTCCAGACACTGTAATATTACTTTCTGTGCAATATTCGGGGTGGGGAAATGCATGCAAGCCTCAGATGTACCCCTCCCACACAACTTGGTGAATTCACAATAAAAAAGCATAACGGTGCATGATTTGTGAAAAGGAAGAACAAAACATGATGGTTTCCTAAGTTGCTGTGGGCCTGGGTGAGAGTTAGTGATCACGAGGGTCCTCAGCTTGAATTATGCAAAGAACTAACTGAGCCAAAAATAGAAGAGGGGACCATGAAACGGAAGTTTTCTCGCCTTAATAAAAGAAACCTATCCTTATGTTTACCTCATTGGTGCAATTAACAGACTGCAGGTCATGGGAGAACCTGAACGAGTGGAAGAGAACTTGCTGACCGTTTATGTAAAAGCAAGCCTTGCTCAATAAAAGGTCATAATAGAACTATTGTATTGTGTCTCATTGTTTAAAATCATTTTCGTTTTCAACAAATACTTGCAAAATTGGGGTGTCATCATTCTAAAGAGGTGTCAGGCCAATATTTGTCAGCGTGCACCTTGCTGTTTTGTAGTAAGGATCAGTATTTTGGGGAATCCCGTTCATTAGGGTGTACTGGTAAAATAAGGTATTTAAGGGCTTATTTCATAAAGTCGACTTTAGAGCTGAGCTCCGGCCTTCCCTTCAGTCTTGCACAGTTGTACCAGCTTCTCTCCTGCACTGAAATTACTTACTCTGATTCCACTGCACACTGTGAGCTTTTCATAGTGTGCATTAGAAGCTGCAGCAAGTCAATAGATCCCACCTTGTTTCCTATAGATTCCACCTTGTTTCATATAGATCCCACCTTGTTTCCAATAGATCCCACCTTGTTTCCAATAGATTCCACCTTGTTTCATATAGATCCCACCTTGTTTCCAATAGATCCCACCTTGTTTTCTATAGATGCCACCTTGTTTCCAATAGATCCCACCTTGTTTCCAATAGATCCCACCTTGTTTCCAATAAATCCCACCTTGTTTCCTATAGATTCCACCTTGTTTCATATAGATCCCACCTTGTTTCCAATAGATCCCACCTTGTTTCCAATAGATTCCACCTTGTTTCATATAGATCCCACCTTGTTTCCAATAGATCCCACCTTGTTTCCAATAGACCCCACCTTGTTTCCTATAGATCCCACCTTGTTTCCAATAGATCCCACCTTGTTTCCCTATAGATCACACCTTGTTTCCAATAGATCCCACCTTGTTTCCTATAGATCCCACCTTGTTTCCAATAGATCGCACCTTGTTTCCTATAGATCTCACCTTGTTTCCTATAGATCCCACCTTGTTTCCAATAGATCCCACCTTGTTTCCCTATAGATCACACCTTGTTTCCAATAGATCCCACCTTGTTTCCTATAGATCCCACCTTGTTTCCAATAGATCGCACCTTGTTTCCTATAGATCTCACCTTGTTTCCTATAGATCACACCTTGTTTCCATTAGATCCCACCTTGTTTCCTATAGATCTCACCTTGTTTCCTATAGATCACACCTTGACTCCAATAGATCCCACCTTGTTTCCTATAGATCCCACCTTGTTTTCTATAGATCCCACCTTGTTTCCTATAGATCCCACCTTGTTTCCATTAGATCCCACCTTGTTTCCAATAGATCCCACCTTGTTTCCATTAGATCCCACCTTCTTTCCAATAGATCCCACCTTGTTTCCTATAGATCCCGCCTTGTTTCTTATAGATCCCACCTTGTTTCCTATAGATCCCACCTTGTTTCCAGCATCATCTAGCTCTTTCAATCATAAAGGCTTAGCATACATGTGGGCATTACATAGGGCACACTGCACACAAATCCAAGCTGCCTAGGAATGGCCATTCCCCCAGACTAACATCCACCCATCAATGTATTATAATAGTTGCATAACTGATCACAAGAGCCATCCTTGCATCAGGGCTGAGGGTTCTTGAGAGGTATACTAATGCAGGGTGCTGTGATTTTTTCAGGAAGCTATGTACAGCACCGTGGCAGCCTCTCCCATCATTTCTGGCTTGCCTATGTTGCATAGAGAACCACAGAGGCCCCAGTGATGTCTAAAATGAAATATGTAATGAAAGTAGGGGGAAGGAGGAAATAGGAAATGCAAAATATAAGCAGATAAAACTCAGCTTTAGCTGAATGACTATGGTAAGCTGAATTCAAATTGTTTCTGCATTGTGCTTATCATTGGTGGTCCTTCTTATGTTTCAAAGGAAACTGGTGTTGAGTAAAATACATAGGCTACCACTCTTGACCTCAGCTTCTGAAATTATATGGCAACCGTCAGTTATAATTATCTGATGGTTTTAGTATTCTGACATTAATCTGATTTCACATGCTGCATGCATGTTCCAGGTCAAAGACTACAAAAGCATTAAACCAGCGACAGGCAAGCAACTAGAATTTTTTAAATAAGGTTTTATTTAAATAAAGCCTGTTTGTGTCCATCTGATGTGACTACTCAACCAAGGCCTGGCCTCAGGGCAGCAGAGAGTAGAGGGGCAACAGGGGTATGGAATTCCTATCTCCCAAAGCCCGGGACATGCAGTTCCGGGCACTGGGTGGGTAGTTGTTTTCTACATTTAGCCCTGCTTTGGGCAAGCAGATCTAAATGAACAGCAGGGAAGCCACCACTTGTTTTGCGGGGGAGGCGCATTGAGGAACCTGGCCTTGGTGCAGCAGAGAGAGTAAATCCGGCCCTGACTACTCCAGAAACAATGCTGAGTCGGCGCTGCATGTTTTCTTTTTATAGTGCATATAGCCTCTAATTTTTCACTATGCTGCAAAATATATTATCGACATATAAATCAATAATAACCAAGGTGTGTATTGATTTATTTATATTAATATAATAAACTGTGTTCATTTGTATGAGTAGAACTGTTTAATACGGTATAGTATTAGTTGCTCTAGTCTATAAAAAAAAAATTTGTCTAGATATGTTTTAATACTAGATCCTTATTTTGGACTAAAAGCAGTAGATACTTAAGTATCAAGAACGAATATCTTTCCTAACTACTGTTACAAACATCAATAGTGTTCTGCAAGTCAGAGCAGCAAATCAGCTTTCAATAGTCTATGACGGTGTTTCTCAACCTTTTTTTGTCACGGCACATTTTAAAACTATGCAAAATCCTGAGGCACCCTAGTCGTTAATGTAAAAAATTATGTCTTCCTTCCAAAATCCACACCAGACCCCTATCCCAAATAGAATTTTGAGGGGGGACCGAATGCAAAAACACAAAACAAAAGGAAGTTCCCCCTTCACATTGGTCCCCCCTTCATATTAGGAACCTTCTTCACATAAGAGCCCCCATTTACATCAAGAGTGCCATAAAAACACTAGGAGCCACTCTTCATATTAGAAGCTCCCTCTTACACATTAGGAATCCCCTCTTCACATCATAAGCATGGCAATATGTGAATATTTCAAGGCACCCCTGAGAAGGCCAGAAGGCACCCCAGGGTGCCATGGCACCCTATTTAAGAAAGGCTGATCCATGGCATAACTGCTTGGTCGCTGTGGGTTATATATATTATATAGTAAATCTTCCTTAGAGGTTATTTTATCAAATAAGCTCCACAATGTTTGGGCATAGGGTTATCTTCCCAACTTTGGACACATTCACATCCTTACTGGAGAAACTTTGATATAATCTATGCAAGTCCCAAAAATAAAAAAATGAAATAGTTTATTAACACATCATGCTATAATCTGAGTGTGTGTGTTCAATGGGAGCAAGTAAATATAGTCCCATACAGGCAATGAATGAATAGGTTAGGTATGATCAGTATACATTTGCTTCTCACAACTTAAAATAACACATTCAAAGCTCTACTTTAAAAAAGATCTCTTACCCAGGATCTAGTTGTATGTAGAGCAGGGGTAGCCAGACTCCGGCCCTCCAGCTCTGGTGAAACTACAAATACCATGATGCATCTCCTGGAGTCATGTCTGTGGCTGTGAGAATCTTGCAATGCCTCAGGGGATTTGTAGTTCCACTACAGCTGGAGGGCCGGAGTTTGGATATCCCTGATGTAGAGGCAATAGTAAGCCTATTGTACCAATGAGAATTGTGCTTGGCATTAAGGAACCTAACCCAAAAACTGTCCGCTTGCCATTCTAGATATATGATGGTCCTTGTAGGACTCCTATCCATAGTTCTATTTAGGAGTTCATCTGATGTTGCCCTTGTGGGTAAAATATGTCCCTGAGAAAAAGCCAGGGCCAACAGCCCATTGCCTGCCAATATGTGAGGTTGTAGACAGTGAGAGATATCACATGGCCTCTTCCCTTCAATACTGTGCAGGGTTACATAAAGGACTTATGGGCAACCTATAACTTCTCATTGCCTATAATTTCTGTAGTGGGTAAGGGAAAGAACACTTTGACATGCATCCTTGCTATATTTCAGCAAGTGCATACAGGGGCAGGTAGGTGGACAGATGGTGGTATGTTGACTCTTGCAAGGTGCCAGCTAAAACAAGAGTCTCATATAGTCATATAGTCTCGTATAATGGTAGGAATGGCCATAACTGGCACCATTCTATTCATATTATTTATATTATTAGTATATTAGTATATTTTATAATATTATTAGTATTGTTATTATTTTATATTATGCTGGACTCCATCCAAACAGATAATTTCACAGTTGTAATAGGAATTGATTTATAATGTTCTTCAGCCAATATTGTAATTCATACACCAATGCCATACAGCACATTCAGATCCTCAACCTCCACTGAAACAGCAGCCCATTTATACCTCTAGCCTGCTCATTTGGGACCAGGCACACGTATGAGATCTTCCCTCTCCTAACTCTGCTCCCTCTCCTCCTGTTAGCTGATTGATTCACAATGCTCACTTAAGCTGGCCATACACCTTACAACCATCGCACGACTTTTATTGTGCGATGGTGGTAAGGTAATTAAAATCTCGTACGATCTGCCCATCTTGGACAGGCAGATCGTACTTGCGATCATCACAAGCCCGCCCCGCTGAGGGGCGGGCTTTCTGATGATTCCAATGCTGAACGGGCAGTGTGCGCTTGCGCACACCGGCCCGTTCGGCATTTGTCTTCCGAGCATGCCACTAACCCGCCCAAAATTGTACGATTTTCGGCGGGTTTTCAAGCGTGCTCGGAGGACAAAAGACGTGCGACCGTACAGTAGAGACGGTCTCACGCCTTCCATACGCCTGCCGATTATCATACGATTGTGGGATTTCCTGCTATTATCGTACGATAATCAGCAGGTGTATGGGCACCTTTAGACTGATTGCTGCTGTTCAGGGGATGACGTCGAGACAAACTTGAATAATTACACTAGTGGTGTTAAAAAAAAAAAAGATGTATATTATTTATGAACACATCATTGCATTAATTGGTCTT